AAGTCAGTGTTAGTATTGCGCTATAATATGCCAAACATATGGTATTTAATTAATCTAAACATGTTCTCATAAAAAACAACAACAACAACAAAAAAAAAAACAGCTGCATGCACACGATAAGAGTGTCGAGTGCAGTATTCAGCATTTTTGCTCCATGTGCACAAATACAGTCCCACAGGCACTGGGCTGTGATGAGCACTGGTTCGACCCTCCTGACGCGCTGACAACTCCCCAACACTTGTCCGTTTGTCAAGTTGACTTTTGAGACTTTGAAGGCGGGACAGTGGCTGGTATCTCCACTTATTGATTTGCTGCACGAATACTGACTGAGCTGATTGGTTATTGACTGATTGATTAACCAAATACTGCTCAACACTAACAGCTTTTTCTATTTTGGTTTTTATTCAAAGTTGCCGACCCACAGCCGGCTAGAGTATAGCAAGAGGTGCTTGCATAAGGTAAAGTTAAAAATTAGAACCTAGCATGTTGACAAGTCCCAGCAGAGAGAGAACAGGTCAGAGGGCAGTGGTTTGCTCATGCACTGTGCTTGTCCTGTTCTGTACAGTTTGGGGGTAACTGCTAACTTACTTGAGTCCATTCTCTGATGCTGCTACTCATCTACATATTCAGAGAAACGTACTGTATTTTCTACTCTACATTCATTTGCTAACTTTAAATACGACTTACTGTGCATGTTAAAATTAATACAAACAACAACTAGAGTATGACGTAGCCTGTTGTTATTGGAAAGTTCTGCAGTGCTACCTTTGATTAAGATGAAGCTTCACCTTTGCCAGCTGCAACATTAAAGAGATGGTCGACAATTATAATACACTAATATAATTGACATTATTTTGAAATAATATACTGACCATTCTACCTCATGACTACTTTTACTTTTGGTACTTTTAGTGTATTTTGTGCTTGCATGCCTCTGTTTTTTAAATGCATGTGTTTTTTTGACTACTTGAACACCATATAGACACACTGGGAGATGCAACTCCTACAGTTTGTTCCACCTGATTTGAGGAGAATTTTTTTAAACATGAATTTGGTCATAGTCCAAACAAGGTAGTCATGAGATCTATTAAAGCCATATTACAATACTGTCAAGGAGATAGAAGCCCAAACCAAGTCTTAAACCCACCCTAACCCTTTGAAGAAGTGAGGAAGCTTCTTAAAAATATTTTCCTCCTCAAGGTCTTAAACTGGTCCTCACATTGATAGGATTAGAAGAAAACATGCGCTTACACACAGCAGGAAACCGTGGTGAACACTTCTGCGTGCAGTGTGTCCACACCAAGACCTTGCTTTCAATTGAAAATGTTCCATATGAATATACATGAAGGCTTGAAATATGACTATAATTGGCAATATAGGGCATGCATAGTAATTGTGTGTATACTCTTACACTAAATATGGGAATGCTGTGTGTGTGTGTGTGCACCATAAGGTAGCAGCAGGGTGTGTGTTATATAGGCTGTGCTGAGTGATTGATCATAGGGAGCAGGGAAAAGCAGGTTACTGCAGCACTTACACACACACATTCATTCCCTCTCTGAGCGTGCTCCTCTCGGTGTTTCTCATTTCCCTCTCCCTCTCTCTCCCCTCCCCCCTTGTTCCATCTCCATCTTTGCCTTCCCTCCTCCTCCCATTCCTCTTCCAAACCTCTCTCTCATACTCCATACATCACTCTCACCTCCCCCGTCCCCCCAGCCATCACTCTTCCCTCCTTCCTGTGGTCTTCCTCCTCTAACTCTAAACTCCTCTCCGCTCTCCATCCTTCTCACGCCTTCTTTAACAGCCAAACCCATCTCGTATTCCCCCTCTCTCATTCTGTCCTGTTATCCAGAGCCCAGGGGAACAGAGAGACATTGTCACGTGTCTTCTTCTTCTTCCACCTCCTCCTCCTTTCTCCTCCCTCTGTTATCTAGCTGCAGTAGTACTCTACTGCTTCTCTGGCAAGGGGCTTCATCGCTCTCAGAGGGCTCCCTCTGCCTCTGTCTCTCCCCATATCATCTATCCATCTACTGTATCTACGTATCCATCCATCCATCCACAACGCTGCAGCAAGTGTTAAGTTTCAGTGACAGTGGTTTAAAGCTGTATTTATAGTTGGGCATCAGGGGGATGGAGCGTGTTGGTGATAGATTGTTAACTGTGACGACACCCTCTGAAGAAGTTGAAGAACGACTCTGTAGTCGTCGGTTTTCAGTACAACAACAGAATATCGTCTCCAAAGCCTCGGCTGACCACGGTGGTCTCTCTTTAACAGTGAATGAAAGATTGTAGACTATTAGCAGCTACAAAGCAGTTGTCTCTGATTCAGTATTGGACATGAGGTGAAACAAAAGTTGTCTGGATGTTCCACTAATGTGTGTTATGTAATTAGGATGGAAATGAACGAATACAAGCAGAGTTTCTGTGGGGACCAGTGTTACTTTAGAAGTTGCATCTGCTACAGGGCAGGTACAACGAGACTTCTGGAAGCCACTTGTGTCAACCACGGAGTAAATATTCATAACACTCTGTAGACTTCATAGCTGTGTGTCTGGTCAGGAGAGGGAGGATTCATTCTGTGAAGTTGTGGCTTTTAAAGACTTTGACCGAATTAAGCGTCTTTAAATGAGATAGTCAGACTTCTTTTTGCATCACAAGATGTTCTCACTGGCAACCTTGACAGAGGCAGGAACCCATTTGTATCTATTTGACTGAGTTGAAACCCAGCACCCTCCTCTGCCACCGCTTCATTTGGGGAATCCACCACATTTTTGAAAAAAAAATTGACCATCACTGGTGCACAGTGAAACTTGTGATGGATTGGACGTCAACAGATCCACTGGTGGGATCACTTGCGCACTGGGAAAAGAAAGCTGCATTTCTCGGCTGCATTTGAAGGAATCTTTGAAGTGGGACGACTTTGTTGCGCTGCTGTTACAGGTTTGGTCTTTAAATGCATCCTTCAAAGTGGAGACACAGCAAATGAATAAGGAACTTTTGCTTGCTGGTCTTTTTCCTTTAGGAACTTTATTTGTAAGCTTTAACAACAGGTTGTGTTAACAGAATTGTGTCCTTTGTCCACTGTTTCACTCTCCTCCCATTTGTTATCCAGAAGTGAATTCTGCAGAAGGACAGTTTACAACATACAACAAACTAACAATCACACGGTGCTGCATTCTGGGCGGCATGTTGGCAATTCTCTGGAGACACTTTAGTTAAAAAAAAGAGCTGATAAAACATACATACATGCATGAAAACACACCTTATGTGAGGACCGACTGCATTTTCTGCAAGCCTCTGCACCTCCAGTGGTGGCAGTTAACGTCATGTGAAGATTACAATCAAGATAATGGGAAGTGGTGTGAGGGTGGGACTAACTGTACCATCACTGCCTCAAGGCTTAAAAAGGCAAATATTTGAAGCTCTAATAGAACCTAAACACTGCTGTGACTTTCTTTATCTGCAGAAAAAATACTGTGCCACAGCTGCTGTTGTAATCTGATAGAAGATGTTCCTTGTTTTAGCTTCAACAGTCAGTGGTTTGGCACATCATTCCGATAAAGTAGATTTAAAGTGAGCAGGGAAAGAACAGGAGGGAGAGAGGGGGGATGGAAGAAACTCTGCTACCCCTCTGTCTGCTATTGCCATAACAACAAACCTGCTCCCCCCCACCCCCATCTCTCGGAGATGTGACATTTCACTTTGCCCTGGTTGCTGCTCCCTGCAGGGATGCTCTGATCCAGTCTGTGTGCATGTGTGTGTGTGTTTGTGTCCTCATTAAAGGCGGATAGCGACCGAGGGGGAGTGGCCCTGATCACACATGCACACCTTGTCAAACCAGACCTCTGCTGCGTCTGTGTGAGTGTGTCTGAGATCAGAAAAGAGACAGAGTCATGCTACTGGAGGCACGGACACACGCAGCCATTCAGAGTAAGAAGTAAATGCAGACGACATGTTAATATTGTCACCAGCATCAGTTCAAATTATTGAACTGCCTTCATTGAAATAACTGTGTCTTGCATTTGCCTGCCTGTATTTCAGTCCTGTTACCTCGTCGAACAGTGTACTGTATCTTGTTACCATCTCCACCCAGCTCCCCACCACCACCACCACCACCACCACCACCCCTCCGCTCTCGCTCATGCAGCCATATTTAGATCACACAACACACACAGTTCCATCGACACTCTTACCACCTGCCTGCACAGAGAAATGGCTCAAAATCAAGTCAAATTAAGTAGTAAGTGGTTAACGACATATTAATTATAATATTTGCAGGCTGTACTGATTATTTGATTGATTTTTTTAAATGACCTGTTTCATCTTAATTTATGTTTGCATGTTTCTGAATATCTCGCAGCACATTTCTTTTCTGTTTTCTGTCCAGTACACAGGGAACATCTCTTCAAGAAAAGAAAAAGGAAAGACAAATGAAAGGTGCTAGTTATACAACAGATCAACCAGAGTCCCTGTAAGTAATTAAAAATAACAGAACAATTTGTGCTTCCTCTTATTAACAGCAATCCGAGTGGGCTGTCGTACACTTGAATCATCTGTTCTCAGCTCGCTTTTGCCAGAAACGTGACTTCAGAAATATCTGTACAAACTGGACATCTGGTCTCCACCATGAGGAAACTGGTTGATGTAAGTTTGATCATGGGAAGTTTTTTTTTTTTAAAGTTATTTTTCAAGTGTGTAAGTTTGCAAGATTCATAACTTAGAAAGAAGCATTGTCACAGAACAGAAGTGCAGTAACGCTCTTGGTTGTGTATAGCTATGTGATGCCTAAAAAAACCCCCCCAAATTATTCAGTTAGGAAACTTAAAAAGAAACCTTGACATGTGACTGCCCCTGCTAACCCGGTGTAAGAGTGGAAAAGGTAGCCATGGAAACACATCCTACACATTTACAGCAGCCGAGGGGAGGTACACATTAGGCACCATCTGAACCACAACGAACAAGTAAAAACTCCGAAATCAAGATGATTACTGCGGACTCACCCGGTGAGCACGACCACAAAGTCCATGACGTTCCAGCCGTTCCTCAGGTAGGAGCCCTTATGTAACGCAAAACCCAGAGCCAGGATCTTTATCCCAGACTCAAAACAGAAGATGGCTATGAAGTAGGGCTCCGTCTCCTCCTACAGGGGAGAAAGGCAGCAGGGCAGAAAAGACAAGGATGAAAGAAGATGGACAGAAATGGAGAAAACGGGAGAAGGCATAGGAAGAGAAGAGTACACAAGGTGAGGAGAGAGAAAATGAAGGTCAGTGGCAGGCAGACTGTGGGTCAATTTGTGTTCACATGGAGGGTTTGTAATAGAAAAATGTAGACTTATTTATAACTATTTACAATAAAGGAGTACTCATACCATGGTTGCATTAACCCTCTGAACTCCAAGCACTTTCTTTTGCCCCATTTTTACTCACTATGGGCTCATTTTTCACTGCAATGAAAAGCCCTGCACCTCTATGGAAACAACACAACCATGACTAGAAGTAGAGAGAATTTAAAATGTCTTTTCTGCTGTATGACGCAATTATAATGTCATGTATGATAAATGACAGAACACTTACATTGGTTTGAATATTTATTTTATAAAAATTGAAAAACCTGGACTCAATATGTTTAACTTAATGTCTACAGGTGGCATTAATACTGGAAAAAATGAGGACTCTACATAGTATGGATATTTTACTACTTACATAATGAGTATCCATACTTTCATTGTATCTGCACTGTGTGCACAGTCTGCAGTTCAGCCCAGTTCATCTGAAAAGTCCCTGAATTCACTGGTGAGTCACCAGTTGCTTCACAGTTCCACTAAGGAGAGCACGATTTCAGTTTTTTACAGAATCTGGTTAGAACAGGGCTGTCCAACTCCGGTCCTCGTGACCTATTGTCCTGCAGGTTTTAGA